TTATTTTTCTTTATATTTTGTATTTTCTTTATTCTTTTGTATTATATTACAATATTATAATCATTCTTACATGAGTATTTTTTGGTTGTGGAACTAATCATCTGAATTTCCATGATTTCTTATGGGGAAATTTGCCTTGGTATACAAGTGCTTTGGATGACAAGCATGTTTCTGGAAGGAATTATGCTCACAAACTAAGGCTTTACTATATTTAGATTTTGAATGGTGACCCTCACAGTGCTTCTCAGTCTCCACGCCCCACCCCCCGACACCTGATGTAGGGCAGAATAGTTAGAGAGAACTAGAGTTGGCTATTCCCTTTTTCAAGTTGGTCAGGCCCTGACATAACTCTGTTATATTAAGCTCTGGGCGAATAGATTCCCTTGAGGGCAGGCCTTATTAAGAACAGAATGCTCTGGAATTTGTATTTAAATTGGTTGCTTTTCCCCCAGAATGATGAAGAGGTTTTTCTCACACAGTCTCTGTGAGAATCGTGTAGAACTCCTGGAGCTGAAAGACCACCACCTCCCTGTCCCCACCCCTGCCCCTACTTGGACCCTCTGGAATTTATATCTCAAAGGCTAGTCTGCACTGAAAAAATGTTTTTTAAAAATGCATAAATTGACATGCTTACAAAGAAGAGAATATAGAATCACAGGAAATAGTCAGTTAAGGCCACAAAAGGCAGAAAAAAAGTGGAAGAAAAAGAAAGAAACAAAAGTAATGAATAAAACATAGTGACAACTATGGTAGATATTAACCCAACTATATCAATAATCACTTTAAGTATCAATTAAGTGGGGTCAAGATGAATCAGAAAGAACCAATTATACGTTATATACAAGGAACTCATTTAAGTATAAAGACACATATAGATTAGAAGTTATCATTTACAGTTTCAGTGTTCCTACCCAGGTTCCTGGAAAGGTTTCTGCTTTGGTAAATTGTGATTCTGTGTATGTGGTTTTCCAATCTGGGAGGCAGCACTTTTGCCCTATGACTTTCTTTTTTGTTGTTTTTTTGTTTTTGTTTTTTTCTGGTACCAGGAATTGAACTCATGACCTTGTGCTTGCCAGGCAGGCACTGTGCCACTGAGCTAAATCTCCAGCCTCCCCTATAACTTTCTTTATCTGATGGATCTAAGAAGAGTTGTTGATTTTTCTCTTTGTTTAGATTTCTACTTGTTAAGATGAAGTGATATTTAGTGATAATTAGAAATTAGATATCAACGTCATGCTAATTTTTAAAAAGTCCTTAAAATGGCTAAGATGGTAAATTTTATGTTATGTATATTTCACTACAATAAAAAAACTTAAAAATGAGGAATTATAAATGACTAAGAAAGTATAAGGTTTTCCAAATATTTACAGATTATCTCTTCTTGGTTATGCCATTGGGGATTGAGTCTAGGGTCTTCACATGCTAGACAAGTTTTCTAAAACTGAGTTATGTTCCCATCCCTTTTTATTTTGAAATAGGTTTTTGTTAAATTGCTTAGACTGACCTCAAATTTGTGATCCTTCTGCCTCTGTCTCCAGAATGACAGGCGTGGGCCGTCATGCCTGGCTTATTCAGAACTCTTTTTAGTGCACCTTGTCTCCTGTTGTTGAGTTTTGATGTGGTTCTTCCTTTTCGTTGGTCACCGATGCTCAGAACTTTGGATCTTTGACCACTTTTTCTGTACAAAATTTTGCCAGTTACCATTTCATATCTGATAACTTTCTAGTAGCTTCCTTACACTTCTCTGCCTGAAGAGTCAGGTTTGGAGTCAGACCAACCTAAGATTAAATCCTGGCTTTGCTACTTGTGGCCCTTTGACCTTGGACATAATGTATTTAACCTCTTTGAACCTCAGACATCATTTGTAAATTGAGGTAATAATGACATTCAATTTATAGGGTGATTGCAAGGATTGTAAAATACCATGGACCAGGTGCTGTGTCTTAAGTGCATTATATATTACTTTTATTAAATGAGACAGGTATGTAAGCAGCCTCATGTATTGGGTGCATAGTAAGTACTCAAGTATTATTAGTGGCTGCTTTATATGATTATCATCATTCTTGTCTAATGTAGGCACTACTGGCAAATTAACTTTCCTAGTGAGCTCTTTTGATTATGTTATCCCTTGCTCAAAAATCCTTTTTGATTCTCTCTTGTCCATTGAATTTGCTCAAACTCCTTCATCAGGCACTGAAAGCTCTACTTAGTTATTTCTCTGCTATTTCTCAGATTTTACCTCCCAAATTTTACTATTCACTATACTCTATATATATCCCTGGATTTCTTTCTTTTTTTTTTTTTTTTAGCTGTATTCAAACTGTTCCTCTCCCTGGAATGCCCTTCCTCCTCCCATTTGGCTCAGTAAATATTTGCTGAGTAAATACATGGTGTCCTTTAGAAAAGCTCTTGCAGCAAAGCCAGCTTGTGTCCATGCCTTGTGCCACCCCTGCAGTGGAGACACACAGAGAAAGTTATGTTTCTTTCCAGCAGGACCTTCTGTGTGGGCGGCATGTATACAAACTGAGTTCTTCCTGCTCCACAGCCCCTCAGCCCTTCGTGAACAGAGGTGTCACTCCATACTGAGGCTAAGATGTGATGTTGCTGGACTCACCCAGATCACCTAGAGGTGCTGTATTGGCAATTATCCTCTCAACGGAGGGCATACTCACCGAAGTACTCTGCAACTTGCTGGGAACTGGGGAGGTGAGCACACCCTTAAGACCATCTGTCTGGAGGAGAGAAGATTCATAACATTGGTAAACAAGGCATAAGAATTAAGAATCAGTTCTAAATTTTGTAATGGTGAAGAAAGTCTTGGGTAAGATGAGACTATACACTAGAGAAGGGATTAAAAAGGCTGCAGGCAGATGGAACTTTACAACAGCCATGCCTGGGGTGCGCCTCGATGCCCTACAAGCTTTGAGAATGCATGGTATGCTAAGGTAAACATCTAATATGGGCTGGGGGATGGCAAACCAATGAAATTCTCTATTCCTGTGATACAGCAGGACCACGAAAATCCTCTTGAAGGTAGTTTTCCCTAAAGCCACTGGTAACTTCATACTGCTGAAAAGATGGATATACGAGAAGGATTCTTCTCCAAAGCCCAGTTCCCTACATGTGCATTTATCCAGTTCTTTGAAATACTGAGACGTATTTATGACAATAGAAGAGATGAATACAGGGAGGTGACAGACAGGCTTATGTAGCTGTATAATTTTATCCAGTGTTTTAGCACAGGTTAATTCACTATCTAGGTTGCCGAGAGCCCTCTAATCTATGTTTAATCCCAGAATATCTCAGCTCCTAGGTTATTCAGAAAAAGAGTTAAATCTGGAACAAGCTCTGAAATCAGCTGGATTTGGGTTTGATCTCAACTCAACAAATCACTAGCTCTGTGACCTTGAAACTCAGAGGTACTTCTCCAAGATTCAGTTTCCTCATTTTGACAATTAGAGTGATATTACTGATGTTAAGTTTTCTTGTAAAGATTTAAGAAAATGATGTGTGTGAAGTGCCCGGCAGAGTAGAATTCCAATACTTGATGGCTACTGTCCGCATGATGATTACTGAATATCTCTACCCTGTGCCATTCCATGTAAAAACCACCCATCTCCTCTAAAGCTACCTGAGTTCCAAATATAACAGTAGTTCATCCACTCTATTCTTACTCTTTTTTTTTTTTTGTTTTTTTCTCCGGTACCAGGAACCGAACTCACGACCTTGCGCTTGCCAGGCAGGCGCTTTTGCCGCTGAGCTAAATCCCCAGCCCCAGAATAACTCTCCTCTCTATTCTTACTCTTAATAATAATAATAATAATAATAATAATAAATAGTAACAATGCAGTTGCAGTCTATATGTCCATGTGCAGTGGTGAAAGTTTCCAAACATTACCTACAATCTTACTTGTTTCCAGTTTATAGCACAGGAAACTAAAGCTCAGAGAAAAGAAATGACTTGCTCAAAGTAAATGACAAATTTCAGTTGGTCTTCTCCCTCTGAAGCACACGCTCTTTCTACTTGACCACATTTTCTCTTCTGAGACAAGAAATCAGTCTCTCTTTTCTGGATACAAAGACCAGATACAGCTGTACCCCTTAAAAATTTTCAGACCTTTTGACATAGTCTACTTTAGTAATTGTACTTCATTCATTCTTTCATTCTGAAGACGTTTTCCAGGTATCTGGTGCTAATGATTTAAAAATGATTCAGTGAGTCTGTGTCTTTAAAGAATTCACATGTTCATGAAGAACACACACACACACACACACACACACACACACACACACACAAATAAGGGGGAAGTCTGAATAGTGGGACCTGAGAGCTCAGGTGAAGTTGGAGGGAGAAATAATGATGTGAGAAAAAGCTTTCAAGGAAGGTGATTTGAATTGATTCATTATTTTGTTCTTTATACCATTAATTCCAGAAATTTGTTTTAAGAAGCTACTGTTTCAGGTTCTAGGCTAAGTCTTGGGGTCAAGCTTAGCTGTGGACTCCTTCAGACCATGCCCCTAAGAAATACACAGTGCAGCTAGGAGGGATGGCCCGTAATCAGTTAAATGCCATTAAAGTTTTATCATGGTTATGCCAGAAAGATGTAAAAGCTACATTGGTGGTGGAGAGGGTGATGGAAATGGATATACAACCATTAAGGAAATGATTAATTCTGTAGAGCAAAGGCTTTTTTCTTTTTTTTTTTTTTTTAATTTTAAAGAGTAAAAGAAGGATAACATAATAATAGTGGGGACTTAGCAAATTACAGACAAAATGGTAGGAAATTATCAATGGTTATTGTTTTACATATTGTTATCTACAAAATAGTTTCTCAGGAAAACAAATAGACAAATAATAGTGAGTTACAGACAAAAGAGGTAGGAGATTATCAAGAGTTGTTGTACTATACTTTGGTATCTTCAAAGAAGGCTTTTTTCTTAAAAACAAACAAACAATTTCTTTTAAACATTTTTTTTGTTTTCCTATTCATCGTGTCTTACTAGATTTTTTTTTTTTTACTTTAAAGACCTTTGAGGAGATCTCACAGACCATGCCAAGTAAAAATAACACGTCTAAAAGTGAATTATGTTTTACAACACCCTCCAGGGAAGGAAGCTATAATTCAAACCACAGTATGTCAAGATGGGGCAATATCTCCGTAACTAGCAACATCTTGGTGAGATTAAGGCGATGAAACTTTGGACATAGTATTACAAAGTGCATTATTAATCGTGTTTTATCTGCCTGTTACTTGGCCACTATTGGCCTTAATGGAGCGGACAATAGTGTGGGACAATGCCCAGCTTTCACAGCATGATTCATCTCATACATCATTTCTTATACCTAGTAAATCTCAGACCCTACAGGTGAAAGCAGGGGAAGAAGTCTTCAAAAATAAGTTAATTTAGTATATAATAAAGGTTGCCTTTCAGGGAAAGTTCTTTGGTCATTTGGAAAATAAAATAAAGTTGGGCCATACTGTATGTCTTTACATCAAAGTAAAATCTAGATATCAGAGATATTTATAAACTTTAATAATGGAATCCCATAAGCGCAAGAAGAAAACATAGGCAAGTTCACTTCATAATCTCAGAGGAAAGGCTGAAATCATAAAAAAAGGACTGGTATTCAGTCACATAAAAATCAAACATTTCTGAATAGCAAAAGGAAAAATCACATAAATGATTAAACTCAAATAAAAACCATGAAGGGGTGTAACACAGCAAAAGGATACTTTTATATGTAACCATGCACTATTATATCTGTATCCATATCTATTATTACTTCCAAAATTGCTTTTCTGTACCTGACCCTCCGGGACCTCAGTGACTGGCTCCTTGGCATACCCTGGCTGCTACCTCCATTGCCTTATCCCTGACAACACTGCCTACCTTGTCCTCCACCAGAATGCAGGCTGAGTGAAGGCCATGATTGCACTGGTGGCCAGGTCTGGAAGTCATGATACTCTCCTCTTTTAGGCCCAGATGAAACATCATGCCACTGGACGTGCCTTCCCCGCCAGCTGTGCAGGGTGGTGCAACCCAGAAGTATAGGGCAGTTGATGCCCTATGGGGCAAACATTGATAAGAGACTGCACACGCCAGCCTTTTTTCCCCATTCCCACTGTAGAGAAGACGAACATCATCTCTACCCATCTAAGTTCTTAGATGGGATCTTCAGCTGGGTTTAGGAACCACAGTCACAAGCATATTAGCAGGAAGAAAACATACAAGTTTTATCAATATTGGTATCCATATGCATGGAGGCTTTCACAGGGGAGTGAAAGGCCAAAGAAATGGCCAAAGCAGGAAGCTCTGCCGTCTTGTAGATAAAGAACAATAGATTTATGAGAAAATTACAGAACTAAGGGTTGTGGAATAGGAGCAGTAAGTCCTAGGGTGGTCAACAGAAGACGTATGGGGAGGTGAAAAGCTAGAGGACAGCCAGGGTTGCTTTAGTGATTTATTTATTCAGATCCGTTGAAGCAACCCATGCCCAGTCTCTGGTGATCAGAACTACGCTCTCCCCTGGGTATGGGGGAGGGACCTCTCTCAAGGGACTTCACAGCATGGAAAGGCAGGTCAACTACAGCTTTTCCAACGTTTTCAGCCTGAAATAACCAGTATACCAGTTCAGCACGTTCAAGGTGAATTGTTCTCAACTCCTTCACCACCACCCCTCATCCCCGGTGCTCACTTACTTGAGCTCTTTGCTTGCAGAACTGCAGTCAGCTTGCAAATGTGCTGCCTTGTGTTTCTTTTCCCTCTTTTTGGGTCTCACTTACATTTTTCTCTCAATCCTTGCTGTCCTGGGTTTGCAGCCACTCAAGAAAGTACCAGGATGCAAGCTTTGCTTCAGGCTCAGTTTCCTAGAAAATCTGAGCAAAGAGCGTAAGGAATTATTATAAAACAATATGAAAACTATCATGTTCAAAATAGGCAGATATGAATAGATTATGAACAAAACTATTAAAGCAACTAGAAATATAAATATCTCTTTAAAATGTGACAAGTTAGCTGTGACACATGCTTATCTTAGTCTTCTAAGAGGAGGCTGAGACAGGAGAATCATGAATTTGGACCCAGTCTGGGCAACCTAGGGACTTAGCAAAATCCTTGTCTCAAAATAAAAAATAAAAAAGGCCTGAGGGTGTAGCTCAGTGCAAAGACCCTGAGTTCAGTCCCCAGTACTGGGGAAAAAAAGTGAAAAGTTATTCAGTCTCACTCATAATGAGAAACGCAAAATAAAATTATGGCAACATATACTTTTTGAGCAGTTTTATAATATGCTGTGTCATATAAAGAATTAAAAAAATCAGGCCCTCCAAATTCAAAGACCCAATCCAAAAATTGGCATCTGAGATTAATACACACTT